AAACACCTAATTTGAAGATAACGGCCAGGGAGATGGCTCAGTGGAATAAGTGCTTCCCTGGCAAGCGCAAGAGTGTGAGTTCAATCCCCAATTCCAAAAAAAAAAAAAAAAAAAGACGAAGATAGTGTCATGCAATACAGCAACCATTATTGAATTCCTCGTACTTTGTTTAGTGAAATTTTAAATTGTTATTTTGTATTCTTTAAAAAAGTTTTTTTTTAAAGAAACTATACAAATGGTATGATTCATAAGTAAAACAAGGGAATGAGTTTTGTACCTACTTCCTTATTCCAACTAGGGGTTGATTCGTGGTTAGGTTCCATAAAATTGTTACTGAATCAATAAATATATCATAAATCTATGACTGTTTAAAAAAATAAACGTTTTAAACTCTTGTTTTGACATTTTGAGTTCCAGAAAACAATGGCTCAAATGTTCCTCTTTAGAAAGTTCTGGGTCATGTCTCCAAGGAACTCCTCCCCACCTGGCCAGAGATAGAATTTAATCACTGGTATCTGAGTAAGGAAAAATCATGCGGGATGTAGCTTATTTATTGTCCTCAATTTACTGCAACTTAAAAACTGTGATTACAGCTTGCATAACAATCTAACTTTTATGTTAAAATATGTATATTAATAAAGTACATACTCATAAGCTTTACATGTGAAACAATATAACTTTGTGTACAACAAAGTCCATTTAGATTTAGTTATAAATTTTGTTCAAGCCTAAGCAGGCAAGACTTAAAACTGAAGTTATTTTGAAGCAAAAAAAGCTTAAATAAGTCCTACAATGCTGTATATGGTTAGATTTCTAAATTTCCGTGTTAAAAACATGTAATTGTTTATTTCTACTTTTAAAATATTTTTTTCATATTCTGTAATGATTTAAAGTTTAACATATCAATACTTGATGGAAAATACATGTTTCATGTTATGTCTAAGATGTTTGATATTCAGACAGACAGTGAGGTTAAACTCAACTTCCTATATTATAGGGTAATAGTATCCTTAAGCTTCTCTTCTGGAGGGTTAACAACTTAAATTTGCAGACCAAAAATTATAAAAAAGGAAGGGCTGCAAGGACAGCCAACATTTTGGCCCTAGCCTTTAAAGGTCAGTGAGGACTCAGGACATAAGAGAATCTGTACTGTAACATCCTGTAACTCACTGATGTCCCAAAATTTCTGATCAAGGAGATATGGGGCCACAGAAGAAAGAGATTGACGATGTAGAGTGTATCTAAGGAGAGTCACATGGAGAGAAAACATTCTCTCAGGCTTTCACAGAGAGCAAATTGGTCAAGCAATGGCCATGACTCACCCACATGGCTGACACTGATAAAGGATCTAAAAACTGTGGTACAGGGTTTCAGGGTAAATCCTGAGGGGATTTGACTGACCTTGTCAAATATAAAAGTTACATTTCTTGTTATATAGGTCTTGCTTTATCTTGGTCTTAACCACCCAGCAGAGAAGTACAAAGCTGAGGTATAAAAAGTAAAGCCATATTAATATGCTGAGCTGTAAAAGGCTCAAGTCAACAACTTCTGACTTGCCAGTCCTATGGATAACCTACTACTATTATGGACTACTGGACTATACTGGAATATTTGGCTGAATTCACACACCTACAATATTTAAATGTCTATGGAATACCCATCTCTGACAAAACTAACAAAATAGGGGGATACAAATGAGCTACCATTTTGTATCTGTATATTCAGAATAGTTAAGATAGCCATACAGCTACTTTCTCTTAATTCGATGAGAAGAAAGATTTGTACTAATAGTGTTTGGACAGGGTATCATGACTGCATCTGGTACTAACCACTAAGAAGACAATATGCAACATATTAATTATTGAAACTGTCCTACTAATTGGTTTTGAAACTGTCTCATTGCTATTTGTTTCTCAATAAAATTAATAGAAAAATTTTAAAAAGAAAGCCTAAATATTTTGATCAGTTCCACAGTTGAAATGGGCACATCTCCTGGCTCATAATGGAGAGGACATTCAAGTCTATAGTCCTCACTTCCAAAATACAAACAAAATTATAATGTCTACTTTGCAAGAGTTTTGTGACATGTTAGTTTCAATCTGCAAAGAAGCTAACAGATTCTCTAAGTCAATATCGCTATTCACTCTATAATGTACATGAAGATATTACACAAAAATAAGACGCAAGATTCTGTCCATCAGACAGATCTTAAATTCATAGGTTAAGTTCACAGGGAAAGGAAGGGTCAGATATCACTTTTCTTTTCCTTCAAGATTTTACCATTATAACCACAACACCAGCCCTTACTACTTTTCAAAGGACTGCAATTCTAGGTATTTTTTGCTCATTAACATCAAATGCTGAAGTATCTAGAGACCCACTGTACTAAGAAAAAAATGGCCACCCAAACTACTTACTATCTCTTCCCCTTATGCTTTGCTTCTGTAGGTGATGGAAGGCATGCTGGTCATTTGTAGATTAGCTCAGGCAGGCAATAAGCACAGTCTGTTGGGACAAAGACTCTAGTAACCAAAAAAGTAAAGTGAATTCATAGAACCTCTCATGGAGAAATCCCCACAGAGAAGCTCAAGCCTTAGACAAAATTAAACAAAGAAGTTACTAGGTTGAGAGAAACCATCCAAGCCACAAACGGATGTTCATTGCTATAACTGGTTGTGACATAGATTGAAAATTACTCTTGTAAGTAAAGACTTTTATTTTCACTATCAATGCCTTATTTTTCTCACGATTGTGCAGAAGTAAATTTTTACAGTGTTGTTTCTCTTCCTACATTTATGTATTTCCAAGATGCTTCACATTCGGAGTAGAAATGTGAAAGTCGAAAGGGAAGTACTTTCTTGGTAACTTTTGGATACTCAGTGTAAGCTCAACATATTTCTACACCTGATTTCTAGTTTCCAAAGTCTCCTTTCTCTGATTGCATCTGCCACGTGGAGATAACAGTTCTTTTGGTAATGTAATGTCAAAAGAAGGCTCAATTTTATTTCCAAAGTCCTTCATTTTTTTTTACCTGAACCTTCTCACTCTCTGTTCTAACTTCCCAGACATCTTGAACTGTCCTAAGATATCAAAGTATCATTTTAATGAAATGTTGAGCTGCAGAGGAAATAAAGACAGCAGAGGAACAACAGGCTTTCAATGGTTGCAGG